TACTTCCCGTTTTTACGTCTAGCTTCAGACCATTATTTGATCTGGCTGCAGGCAGGGCTGCCGGAGATGGATGCAGGCCTGCCACTCCTGCTGCTGCTGCTGCTGCCCACAACAACAATGCAAGGCAGCCAGCCCGGCCAACTCACCATGGGGAGCAGGAGGTGGAGCCCTGCTCGGAGGTGGCGTAGCCCTCAGCGCACAGGGTGCACTCGGCGGCGTTGGCGGCAGACCAGCTGCCGGGAGGGCACTTGGTGCAGGCGGTGCCGTCACCGCCGTTGGCGGAGCGGAAGGTGCCGGCGGGGCAGGCCTGGCACACGGTGCCGGACACGTTGTTGAAGGTGCCCTGGGGGCACAGCTCGCAGGCGGTCTTGGCGGTGTTGTGGGTGGTGCCGGGGGCGCACTCCTGGCACTTGGCGGCGCCCTTCTGGCTGGAGGAGTAGTTGGGGCAGGCCACGCACTGGGAGGCGGCGTCGGCGCCAATCAGCTCGTTGAACTTGCCGGAGTCGCAGGCGGTGGCGGCGCCGCTGGCGCACTGGTAGCCGGCGTCGCAGGGGGCGCACTGCTTCTTCACAAAGGTGGTCACGCTGGGGCCGTTCTGGGGGTGGGCCTCGCCGCTGGTGCCGGCGGGGCAGGTGGCGGAGCCGGTGGTGTCAAAGGGCAGCAGGGTGATGCCGCTGTCGGTGCAGGAGGTGGCGCCGTCGGTGACAGCCAGGGAGGGGGTGCCGTCAAAGCTGATGGCAAGGCCAACGCCGGCCACCTTGTCGGCAGCGCGAGCGGAGATGGTGTTGATGGTCTTGTAGGCACTGCAGCAGCAAGGTGGGGGTGGAAAGGGAAGGGCACGTGAGCAGACCGTGGCAGGCTTGCAGGCGTGGGGGCAGGCCAGCCAGCAGCAGCAGACGCAGCAGGCACAGCCCCACCCGGCCAAGCCTCTCCACTCACCCGTCGATCACGGCCAGGTCGTCGGCAACGGAGCACTTGCTGTCTCCCAGCACAAACACGCGCACTTCGCAGGTCACGTCAGTCTCGATGGCCAGGGTGCGGCCGTCCAGGCTGTCGCACTTGTTGTCGCCGGTGTTGAAGGGGTGGGCCAGGGAGCAGGCCTCCAGGGTGCTGGTGGAGGGCAGGGTGACGATGCGGTAGCCGGGCTTGGGCTGCTCCTCGGGCAGGTCGCCGTTGAAGCCGGCCACGCCGTCAATCTCGCCCGCAACCACCTTGGGCATGCCGTAGTAGCAGGCCAGGCAGCCGGTGGAGCCGGTGAAGTGGGCGTACGAGTTCTCGGGGCAGGGCTCGCAGATGGAGCTGCCGGCGGTGGAGCTGTAGGTGTCGACGTCGCAGGCGGTGCAGGCGGTGGAGCCGGGCAGGGTGGCAAAGGAGCCGGCGTCGCAGGTGGCCTTGGCGCCGGCAGTGCACTGGGCGCCGGCGGGGCAGATGGCGCACACGGCGCCGTCGTCGTAGCGGCCGTCGGCGCAGGTGGCGGTGTTGTCGCAGGCGGTGTTGGAGGCGTCGCAGAGGTCGGTGGAGGCGAGGTTGGGCCAGGAGAGGGCACCCTCCACGGCATAGGTGAGGGTTCCCTGCACGCCGCCCACGGTGGTGGCCACGGTGACGCCCTTGAAGGCGGTCTGGAAGGTGGAGGAGCGCACAAAGGTGGCGGCAAAGGTGGCGTTCTTGAGGGCGCGGGCCAGGGCCGTGCTGATGTCGTTGTTCACCACGACGCCTCCCTTCAGGGGGCTGGTGGGGCAGGTCTGCGGCAGGGCGGGGAGCAGGGGCCAGGGAGGGTCACGGTGTGTTGCATGCGGGAGGTGGGAGGGCTGCCAGTCAGAAGCAAGCATGCTGCAGCTCCCGGCCAGCCACCCAGCCACCCAGCCAGCCGCTCACCGTGTTCTTGTACTTAAGGTCGGCGGCAAAGGCGGCGGGGGTGACGGTGAGGGCGCAGTCGGCGCCGACGGCCACGGTGAACTGGGAGTAGCAGACGGCGTAGGGGTCGTTCAGGCGGGTGGAGCCGGTCAGCACCAGGTTGCCAGACTTGCCCTTGAAGGAGGCATCGCAGCTGCGGCAGGGTGGGAGGGGCGGCAAGGAGGGAGGGGGTCAGACCACTGGCGCGCCAAGGCGAACCAGCCAGCCATGCATTCTGACAGCGGAGCGGCTGCACGGCCGTACAGCAGGCGTCCAGAGTGGCCAGAGGAGCCCGACCAGGACTGACGCAGGCTGGTGACCATTGAGCGGCGGCGGCGCCGGCGGCGGCAGATGCAAGGGGCACATCCCGGCAGCGAGGGCGCGGCGCTGCCGGATCGATCCCCATCCACTCCTCACCTCTGTGCGGAGGCTGGGGTTGCCAGGAAGAGGCCGATGGCCAGCAGCTGGAGGGCCGCCAGGGTGGTGCGCCCCATGCCGCGACAGCAGGAGGGGAGCATGGTGGGCTGTGGAGCCACTGGGGGTGGGGTGAGGGTGGTGGGGTGGTGGAGTGGATGGAATGAGTTCAGACGCCGGGTGGACGGGAGTTTTATAGGCCGCCTGGCGGTCACTCAGTACCGGGCCCGACCTTTGGGTACGCCGCTTGCTCCACGGGGCATGCATGGCGCCGCTGCCCGCAATTCCTGGGGGCTACATGCACCATGCGAGATTTACCCGCAGGGCAGGGGCGCGGCAGGCCCAGACCCGAGGCGATGGGGGCTGCCACCTGTGACCCCACCTTCCCTCCCCCTCCGTTTGCCTCCCCCTCACGTGGCACCAGAGTGGTGGCAGCTTGCCCTCAGCGGGCACACACACGGTGGTAGAGCCGCGGGAAAGCGCTGCAGCCTACGGCTGGGCCGCCTGACAGGCCTGGGCACGGCTGCGCAGCGGCCCCGCCGAGCGGCAGCAGCACCCGCTGCCGCCGCCGCCGCCTGCCACAGGGCACACCCGGGGCCTAGCGGCTGTAGGCCAGCGTGTGCGGTGGAAGGGCCTCTGTGGGTCAGACTGGTGCTGCGTCCAGGATACATTGCAAATGGACACAGGACTGCTTGGCTGCGTGTGCAACGTGGCACACCTGGTGTGCTGCCCACTACCTCGGTTGATGACTGACGGTCACGGTGTCAGCGGCGCTGCACCACACGGCGTGCTGCAGCATATGAGGGTTAGGGCCTGTTACAATTCAGCCTGGGAGCTGCCTTAGGCCCACTCCCTCCAGCAGGTGCTCCAAAATTCCGGGCATCGATGCCGCCATGGCGGCACGCAGCGCGGCACGCCCCGCTGTCAGCGCCCAAGGCATGCCGCCGAGGGCGGGAGCGCACCTGGGCATCGCATGGTGCCATTTTGCGGACCGTGCATCCTGTAGTCGCTGCTATCGCCTTGGAGCCTGTCTGTTTCGCATCGCCTCCGCGATGGAGCGCTACAAGGGCTTTGTGAGGCGCAACGCGGGGCTGTTGTCGCTGCTGGAGAGCGGTGCGTGGGCCGAAAGCTGGGCCGCTGCTTGAGGACCCCACGGAAGCGATGGCGATGGCAGCTGTCGCCTTTGGGCGGCGGTGTGGGTGCTCGTATTGTGCAGCTCTGAGCGCTGGCAGGCACGGGGGAGGCGCCCGCCCGCCCGCCCGCCTTGCACCTCCTTCTCCCGCCGCCACCACTGTCGCCGCCGCTGCGCCACCCTACCCTGCCTGCTTTCGCAGGGCTGTCCAGCCTCACCTGGGTGCTGCCTGAGCGCTTCGAAGAGGGTGAACTAGGGATAGAGGCGGTGCACACGGCTCTGGGCCTGATCTCCAGCTTCCATGACAGCATCGTCAGCACGCCGCCGGGCGTGCCGTTGTCGCCGGGAGCCGACCTGGCTCTGGCGCTGTCCACGCTGGAGCAAGTGCAGGCACGCCCAGCTCTGCTGCGCGCTGCTGCCGCACAGACTTGCAGCCCTGCACAGCACCATCTGCGCACCAATGTGCGGCAGCACAGGTGTAGAATGCCAGCCAAAGCGGTGGTTTGTCGCTCGTTTGCGCAGGTGCTTGTAGAGCTTATTGCGACCCGCAGCGAGGAGCGCGGCAGCGGAAGCCGCTACACATCACTGGCTATTCTGGAGAGCATCAAGTGGGTGTTATTCAGTGCTCAATGCGGCTGCTGACAAGTGTTGCTTTTCCCCACTGCTGCTTGCTTCATCGCGATCATGCGCACTTGCGCCATCAACAAACCGTTGCTGCCTTGCTGCCTGTCTGCTGCAGGGCGCTCGTGCGGCTGGTGGTATGGCGGCGGTCAGGGAGCCGCCTGCTGCTGCACGGCGGATGTGGCAACCTGGAGCAGCAGGCAGTGCAGTTTGGCGGCCCGACCGTGGTGCAGGTGCTGATGGTTCTAACTGTTCTGGCTGCTGCCGGTGCTGGCTGGTGGTAATGGTTGGCCGCAGCACACGCACGCCCATGAGTGCATGTGAGCGGTAGTGGACCGCATGGCAGCCTTCCCCTGTTGCAGTGTGTTGTGTTGATGCCCCCCATGCTGCAATCTGTGCAGGGTCGGCCGCAGGAGGTGTATGGCGCCTTTGCTGCCTTCCGGCAGCGGCGCTGCATGCCGCGGCAGCGGCAGGGGAAGGCTGTTGTCGACGACGAGGTGGCAGGCGCGCGTGCGGGCGCAACTCAGGCCAGCAGCACCGTCGACAGCGGGGGCGCTGGCGCCGAGGCCGAGGCCGCAGCCCCGGCCCTTGCTGGGCAGCATGCAGTGCTGCCTCAGCGGCTGCTGCTGGCGGCTGAACTGCTGCACATCCTGCGCCCAGTTGCCTACGCATTGGCCCTGCGACGGCAAGTAGTTCGTGCCTCTTTTTTTACTGCTGTGCTGGCGCTCCTGCTGTGCTGTTGCAAGGCATGCTGTTGCCTGCCGTGCAAGTTGGCTGATTGCATTGGCATAGGCTGAAGCACAGCGTGCTGCCCGCAGGTGGGGCCGCCGCTCGTGGCGGCCCTGGCTGCTATCGCTGGGCATGGATTTGCTGAGCATGCAGCTGGGCTCAGCGGCCGCCAAGGCGATGCAGGTAAGCGCGGCGGTGCCTGCTTGGTGCCTGCTTCTCTAATGTAAGGCGCAGGAACAGGCGTGCTCTGGTGGTGCAACCTGTGCCGTGTACGCCACATCCTCTCCCTGCAGAGCTCCACCTGGTTTGGCACAGTACAGCCGGCCAACCTTGGGCCGAGCCTGCTGCTGCTGCAGTGCCTGCAGCAGACCAGGTGCGCCATGCGTAATGTGTGCTGGGTTGAGCATGAGCGGGCGGGCTGTGGTTGTGTCGACTCCAAAGGCCAACAGACCCCCAAAGGATTGGTCTCGGTGCTGAGCGCCGCTGCCTGCCTTCTTGTGTGCTGATACCATCGCTATTCATTTGTGTTGCCGCTTGCTGCCGTAGGTGGGCTGGTGAGGAGGAGCGCGAGCTGGCGGCGCGTCGCCTGCGCCTGCTGATGTACCTGCTCAGGGACCCGCTGTTCAGCCGCTACACCCAGGCACGTGGCCCGCGGCCGTGCATGGGCGGCCGGTCTCTTGTTGGTGGCAACGCAGGCTGTATAGCTCACACATCGACAGCAGCGGAAAGGGTGCAGGGTCTTTTGCTTCGCCACGTAGACCTGCCTGCCTACCCGCTGATACATCTGTCATTGGAAAGCCGTGTGCTTGCCAATGTGTGCAGGCTGCGCTGGAGGGCTGGGTGCGCGGCACCTCGCGCGTGCCGCTGGTGGGCTGGCTGAGCAGCCGCGGCGCGGAGATATTGATGGGCGTGCAGCGCTACTACACGTATGTGGAGCGCATGGCAGCTGGCTAGAGCCAGTCTTGAGGCAGCCTTGAGGCAGCCTTGAGGCAGGCCACATCAGCACCTACGTCCACCATCCACAGCAGCGGCGGCGGCGCCTGATGACGCAGGAACCCACGCCTGTGGAGGATGCTGCCAGC